CAACATGCCTCTGTCACCAGGTGGGATAGTCACAGCAAGAAGGAATCGTCCACTACAGCAAATTACTTCTTGCTGTGACTATCCCACCTGATGACGGAGGCTTGTGTCCGAAACGTCGTGATTTGATTAACTTTATTTAATTTTTTACCTACGTACTAGTATTGTTTCAGAGCTGTGAAATGAAAACACCGTCATTGCCAAGGTTCATCGCTCACGTATATTCACACACACACGGAACACATGCATTTCTTTGACTGTGTAGGGTGGTGTAGGGTGGTTGGTGGAGGGTTTATAACATCACACATTTGGCCAGATCATTACACGGCCCAACCCAACAGTCTACGTGCGTATCGCAAATCCGTGACGTTGGCCACGGTGAATACGACGGCGCGTTCAATCCGCACGACCGCCGGACTGACTGACGCCAGTTTGTGTTCATATCGTACCCGCTGGCGACCTGCTGCTGATCGTGCACGTCCATCGTTACGCTCTAAGACCGAGAACCAACTAGTGGAAACATGGATGGGGCCCTGGAAGAATGTTGTGGTGGTGCGATCGCGTCAAATGCACCGTCAATGCTCGTGTGTATGTATGTACGTCGCCAACCGTGTTAACCGGAGGTGTTCGTCCGGTATATTTAGAATTTGTTAATTCTCAGAGGCAAACTGAAAACGGGAAAGCTGAGCTTGACAATGAAAAGGCAACGTAACGTGCCAGTGCATATTACCAGCCGTGACATATGGGCCAGAAACATGGTCATTGACAAAGAAAGTGGAACAAAAGGCTGAAGTGTGCAAAGAAGCACGGGGAGGCGAGAGGCAGAAAAGGAGCGCGTGGATTCGACCAGCTGTCGGCAACTATCATTAACAAGAAGAGCCATTTGTTTCGAATTCGGTAAAAAACCCCCCTTCAATATTTAAAGATCCGCAATGCACGCGGATACCGTCACAAAAAGCACAGCCCTTGAAGAGCCGTGCGCGGCTGCGGCTGCCGCATGGGTGAGACGCACATTGACCGCGGGCGAAAGGAAACTGGGGCTTTGGGCAGGACACGCGGCTAAAAGGCGACGGATCGGTGGGGATGGTCCATGACCAATTGTGGAGTGGCAGCCGAAGGAGGGGAGGGGAAACCGCGCCCGAGCGGACGTCGACTGCGGGAGACGGAGCTGTGAAAATCGGCTCGCGGGCAAGAAGAGGCGGATTGTTGCCTCGCAAGATTGCGGAATGGGAACGGCAAGGGGAGCGGGGGGGGGGTGGTGTGAGAGATGCCTTCATGTAGCAGTGGATGTATAATGGTTGACGGTGACAATTTGGGCATCTGGACATGCGTGGGAAAAAAATAGCTTCATAGCTCATTGGATTTCTCCAGCAAAAAAGATTCCGATTTCTCAAGAGCGCGTGCAACAACAACAACATAAAAACCCCCACGCTCTCGCACGACCAACGCCCCCCCCCCCCCTCTCGACGAGAGGAAGAAAAAAGAAAGTTCCACCGTCAAACTCGGATGCGCGTGAGAATGCGGTTTAATGAAGGGCGACATCCAGGCGCGCGCGATCTTAAACTACGGGCGCCCGCGTCTCCTACACGGTAGGCGGGCGCGCGCACTTGCGAACTGGGCTCCCCCACATGGTTTTGAGGATATTGGATCGAGCAGAAGACGTAAACAGTGAGAAGATTACGATGGGAGCGGGCGGGGGACGACTTGGGGGTAACAATGGGCAGACGGACGAATAATCTCTTTCCATCGGTGTTTATCGACTTCACCGGGAGTAGGGGAGGCTGTTTATAATTGCACTGTGAGAGCTTGGGAAACGCGTGCCCATTGGGTATAGCACTTACAGGCAATTTTAATAGGGAATGCCAACATCTCAGAGGCTCGGTATGACAAGGACAAAGATCCCCCGCATGGGCTGAACAGACTGTTGAAGCAAGTGCTGTTAGCGAGCACCTACGAAGGCCGGCACAGGACGCACGAGGGGGTGGGTGGCCAACACCACGCCCGCCCGCCTTCGTTTCCCTAGTGGCGATGTTTACTACACTGCACCAGGTACTTATTTGAGCCAGAGTCGACCTAGGGGAGGCCCAGGGCCGGTTCAGATAAGGCCGTGAGCGGGAATCAAACCATAGACCGCCGACGCAATGTAATAGTTTGTCGCGCAGCACGCTAACCGCTACACTACCGCTCCATGAACACACACACGAGGGCATGGGATACAGAAATATCATTACATTTCAAGTTGAGAGACAGCAGGAGTGTTGGAGCTCGGAGATATACAAACGTGACGTTAAAATTCGCCTGGAAATTAAAATGCAGTAGCGTGAGAAATAACCTTCATCTACGCACCCGATAAGGGAAATTTAAACCACAAATATAATATACATAGAATGAGAAGCGGATGGTGAAGTGTTCCCGCACACTGCACTATGAACCGTGCGCTGTTAAGTTTGATCACCGACCGCAGATAACATCAGTGGCAAGTGCTATCGGAACCGGTGCTTGGGCACCTTTCCTTCACCAGCCTGCCTTTACCAGCGTGGTGAAGTATGGTCAAACAACGTCAACCAGCAGTGGATTAACAAAGAACTGAATATTAGATGGGCCAGGACTTGAAATGAAAATAGGCAACGCGATGCATCACGCGATCCACCACATTGCCCTACGAAAATCGAAAACGTCACTTTGGCATTTCACAGAATTGATAACATTTGAAGATGAAAAGAGGGTGCCCTAGGAAGATTTCGGATGGGCTCAAACCACAACAACTGAACCACGAAGTTGGAAGACGGGAGGGCGAGGGGGGCAAGATGAAGCAGAGACCACGAGCTGAGCTGGCAACAACGCTGCGCCAACGACCTTGTCCATAGACCGCCGACGGGGCGACGCGATGGAACGGACGAAGCGTGCGCGCCGCGTCCGTTAAGGTGACCACAGTGCGAATTGTTGTCGCGGTTGTGCGGGTGGCAGGCTCGCCGGTTGCGCGTTTTCGGGATGCGCCCCCCCCCCCCCCCCCCCCCCCCCCCCCCCCCCCCCCCCCCCCCCGCTGCCGTCTTGGTTGGCATGCTGTCAGACGCCTCGCTGCACTTGCCAGGGAGTTTCTTCGTGAACTGAAGAGTTCCACATTGGAGAGCCATCACCGGCTCGTATTTCTCACAAAGCACAAAGACTCCAAGGGCATCCAGTTACCAATGCGTTTCTATTAAGATACTTGCACTGTTCGTAGCTTAAAAGTACATGACGCATGCAGCATTCCCTCGTTATTTGCGCGGGATACGTTTCGGAGATGCTCGTGAATAGCACATTTGGCCTATGAAGATCTGAATCACGTTAAGTAAATACATAGGTTGTGAATTACATTAAAATTACCAAGACGCAAAAAAAAAAACCGTGGTCATAATAAACGTAAAGTAAAAAAATATATATTAAAGCACTCAACAACTGTTTCAAAATGCAGTCGTGTCGCGTTCCGGATGCAATTCGCGGAGAGCCAAAACCGTGGAGAGCAAGCTCGTGAAAAACAAGGGAATTCCCGTACGTAAGAAACCCATCCACGTCCATGTGAGTACACGCCGTATACCAACAGGACGTGCATTATGCCGCACGTTAACACAACACCAATCCACAAAGCGCAAGATTATTTTCCAAGTACTTAACTTTTTTTTTTGGTCGAGCTGCCGTACAGCCATACAGGACTGGAAGTTCAACAAAGCAAAAAAAACAAAGATGTCCCGTATAGCCTTAACATGTTGTTGGGGCAAGTGCTGTTAGTGAGCACCTATGAAGGCCTGAGCGGCACACCAGGGGGTGGAGCCAGCAGCACGCCCGGCCGCCTTTGTCTCCCCAGTGGCGACCTTTACACATCGCACCAGGTATTCATTTGAGACCGAGTCGACCTAGGGGAGGCCCAGGACAGGTTTGGATAATCGTCACTGGTGTTGGCCGTGAGCGGGAATCGAACTCGGGTCGCCGGGTTCAACACACACACACACACACGCAAACAAGCGCGCACACTTGAATATCAACCAGTATTAACTTATTAGGCGTTTAATGAGGCCAACAAATGACGAAACAAAGATTCCAATTAATCCCTTCAGCTGCTCGAAAAAAAAAAAGAAAATCCGAAGGAGCGCAAGTGTACAGTTGTATTTCATGTTCCACGTGCCAAAGCAGGAATTGCTACCACTTAAAATATGGCAAAACCTTTAGCCAAATCGATATTTTTACATGGCTAATAAGACTGCCTTCTTTGATAACCCACTCGTTCAAAATAATGAAAACGCATAAGCCACCGTTTATTGGCTACATTAAGACACTGGAACCGCTAAAGTCATGGCTACCGCTGGTGGAACAGGCAGGTGAAATATCTGCGCCGAGCTCAAACGATTCGCATTGCGCGTCTCTCTCCACTCTCTCCGCTGGCTTCCCCCTAATCGCCACACGTCCGTGAGCGACGCACACGGCTCGTTATATTTGTTCCAACGTCTCAGCGAGGAGGGGTTTCCTATGCATTCTATTACAGTAGTGCACAACCACGTGTGCACCACGTGTGCAACACGTGGCAACCTTGATGGTCAACGGGTGTGCAGCAATTCAAACTGCACCTTGCCACCTATACAAAGATCCCCCCCGTAGAGCCTCAACAGACTGTTGGGGCAAGCGCTGTTTTGCAAGCACCTACAAAGGCCGGCACAGGACGCGCGAGGGTGGGTGGCAAGCACCACGCCCGGCCGCCTTTGTTTCCCCGAGTGGCGATGTTTACACACCGCACCAGGCACTCATTTGAGGCTGAGTCGACCTAGGGGAGGCCCAGCACCGGTTCAGGCAATCGGCACTGGTGTTTGCCGCGAACGGGAATCGAACCCGGGTGGCCAGGTTCGTAGCGCAATGCGCCAAATGCTGCACGATTGCTCCCCACCTGTATACACCCACCCACCTCAACACACACATACCCATCCACTCACCGAACCACCCAGCAATTAGATAATTTGTCGTGATTCAGGGGGTTGCAAGAATCAGTTAGAGTTTATTTAGTTTGGACCATCTTGTTTGCATCGTCTCGTTTTGGAATTCACGTGCAGTTGGTAATTTATTGCAAGATCTTGTACGCTCCGTCTCGTTGTGTTATAGGTCCCATACTTCATGTTACTGCAGGAATCGCATGGCGGATTTGCACCGTCTCATTTGGATCGTACACCTTCATCCCATGTCGCGTCCCGTGTCACATTTTTACATTGCGAGTGTCGTACGTCTGGTCTCAATCTCGCGTTTGTGCTGCCTGTCATCTGCATCGCGTCCGTGTAAAATGGATTCTGATTGACGCACCGTCACATGACCAGCTACTGTTCGTTCATCCGTGCAGTGCCCGTGCGCAACACGCCGTGAACGATGGCACCAGCAGCGCTCGTGCCATGTGCACGCAGGGGATAGAGGCTGAGCGCGCCAGTCCGCAAGGAACATCGCCGCCACGTTCTTTGACAAGAGCGGATTGCGCCCAGCAAATTAATGTTTTTGTCGGTGGAGCGCCATCCGATCGAGTTTGTTGTCGCCGGGACGGGTGGTCCCGCCGATTTCCCCGCCGCGGTGTCTTGAAAAAGCACCTCAGCGTTAGCTCCGCGGCATCCACTTGCCGTGGGCCGTTCTCCATTGCACTGTGCCGCGAGAGGTTTCCGAACGGACGCTTACATCCCACAGTAGCGCGGCGCCGATAGCACAAAATCGGGACAACATTGTGGAGAAAGAACGAAAGAAAGTCTCGCTCTCGTGTTTTACAATGAAAAATAAAACCGATTTAGAGGCCTGGTGTCGGTTTTGATCCGAGAAGAACTCTCATCCCCTAGCATTAGAGGTAATTAAAATGGCAGCGAATTCTCCAATATTGGTTCGGCAGTTGAGGAAAATTCCAGGCTAATTTAATTATTAAAAGCCCGTCTCTCGCGGATGCGTCAGTGTGTAGAAGTGAGGCCTTTGACCAAAACACCCGCAGTGCGCCCGAATTGAGAAGCAAAGCTGGTTTGAGTCTGATCAGTGCTCGAATTGGTGACCGCCATGCATAAGAGTTGCCAACACAGATGTAATAGACCAGAATTATTCATTTGTAAGGCCCGCGGGGGGCCACTGCCAGTCCCCAGCAATACAAAACAATGGAAAAACACCCCTTTTTTCAGTAGCGATGTGGCGGCCCTCAAGCCGATAACTTATCGCCGAAAGGGGCCGCCCCCTCCCCCCCCCCCTCTGAAAATGAGTGAGGAACACGCAGACATTGTGTGCAGTAGACGGGAAGGCAGTGCAGCCAAACCCATTGTAATTCTGCACTTCCTCCCCTAACCCAACAAATCCATGCTGACCAGCGTTGTGATGCACGGCCATAACATCCCACGTGGCCAACGAGGCATGACCGCGGGGGCTCTCGTCATGCAGCGGGGATTGAGACCAACAACAACAACAAAATGCTCTGGAATATAAACACGGCATGATGCCGAATCCGGAACACAAACACAACGAAATCGTGAAGACAACGATGCGCGATACTTTTGCACGCAAAGGCTCTGCATGGCTGGCCTTCAGGGCCAACCCGTGACATTAGTTTCACCGCCTATCGTGGGAGTAATATGCATTTTTAACGGTAGGCATGTATACAAAAGGCGTTCAAATTATGACAACTCTACATTAGGTAGCATTGCCACCCATATGTCAAGTATTACATTTCCAAAATTGGCTAAAAAAACCGATGCATACAAAATGTCACGATATTTTACAAGAGGGGGGAAAAAATTCAACCCAATGGAGAAGAATTTCGTTCTAGGGTCTCCCAAATGCCGGATTTCAAAAGCCTAATTATTAAAACGTCTTCCTTTCTATAAACTTCATCAACGTGTCTAAAAAAAATAATCCACGCTTCAGGCTGCCGTTTCAGTTCACCGCCAACCACATGATAGCCAATCCCGTTGCACGCACACATTATTTATATATTTTGCACTATTTGATTTAGAATAACGTTAGAAGTAAATCCATACGAGTCCAATTTAGTATTTTTGATTTAAGTTTAAAGCGATTCCACAGCAGTCTGGTCGGCACGATGATTGCAAATCACTTTTTTTTTTTCAACGTACGTACAATCCAGCTTCAAGTTATTGCTCATTGCCACTGGCATGACATCACAGAACCACGAACGACATTAGGAGGACTATTACGCACGCCTCCCCACCCGATCAATGCAGTTTTAGCATTTTGCCCATCGCTAACCAAAACGGTCTGGCCAGGGCATGCCAGTAAGCCAGCGGCTCCGCGGAGGGAGGGGAGCGGGGGGGGGGGGTCTCCGGTCGACCGGTGATTGACATGGCAACGGTGCAAGGCCGTGCTTGTGCCTACGGGAGCGGGGCAAGTACAGCAAGGAGGTTTTGCCCGACAAACTCGTTGCAGAGTTGTGAGCGTCGTTGCCCACACGTCTGTTCGCGGGGTTCTTCGGGAACTCCGGGTTTCCTCCCAAATACAAACGTGAAGAGGAAAGGAAAACTATTATCGATCAAACAACTTAAAAACAGGACCTCCTCCCTCCCCCCCCTCCTGCAAAAGAGGAAGAGGCTCGACGTGGTTTTCGCACCTAAAAATCGAAATGGCCTGAAGCAGCACTTGGTGCCACGGAGGAGGTCACTACAGTTGACAATTCTCCGCGATAAAGTTTTTAGAAAAGTAACTCCAACACCATAACAAGGCGAACATAAATATCAAACCAGCAGAGCCCCCACCCCCCCCCTACCCTCCTCTCCACCTCCACGAATCACCTACACGCTCATTATACATTCAATCGGGTACGGGAATTAAAACAGAAAATGCTGATTGCGGAAAACGTATCCGTTGGACGCGCGAGAAATGTGTAAGTGGCATATCTAGTGTACAGTCTTGGCAATGCTTAGCCCAAAGTGTTTCCAAGTAGGCCGTTGCTGGAGGGCTTGTAAATAATAACGGGACCCAAAGGGAACCCGAGCAGTGAACGTGCCGGGGGAGGAAAGTAAAAAACCGGCGTAGATTTTCGCTTGAGAGTCCCCGTGCGCGAGCGGTAAGTGATATGAAAATTGCACGGACCTCGATCTCTCCTCGCGCGTGTGCGCCAAACGCCGAAAATAAACTTAATTGTGCTTCGTTCGGCTAATGAGCGCAAGCAGCCGGCTATCGTTACAAGATTCACATAAACTGTTCCCGCGGATTGTACAGAGAGAGACCAGACGACGGATGGGCGGGCGAGACTCTCCGCCGCGCATAAATCCGATTAAATTAAATATAGCTTCAATTAAAAAAATATTTATAACATTCCTGAAACGGTAAACGTATACGTAACATGCGCGCGTCAAAACGTTTCGCGCTGCGCTCAAACTTGCGGGAGGCAAAGATGGGCCCATCATTCCACTTTCTGTGGGACGCATCCTTCGAGTTCGATCAGCTCGGGCCAGCCCTCGTATTTGTTGGTCTCCTTGTTATTTTTGATGTGCTGTGAAGGAAAAAAGAAAGGGGTGGGGGAGAGACGTTAAAGGCTTTCGAGGCGCGGCTCTAAAAACACGCGGATGTTGTGCGTTAAGGGGTCAATGCCGACGATTCACAGGCGGCACTGGAAGTCACGCGATGACGGTAATCTGCCACGCTGGCCATCGACTAACTGCCGTGTACCCATTTGTACTGCCGAGTGGATAGAGGCGGGGGTGGGAGGGCCTTGAAGAAACCTGTAACGTTGTATTTTAACTTCCGAGCTGGGAGATGGAATCAAACTGGCAGTGGCCACTGCACAGCAAGCCCAGTGTGCCGCTAACCACAACACCACAGCAGCGGGTACAGATTACTTGTTTTTGTTTTGGCAATGAGAAGCAAAGCAATGTGGGATGGTTGTTCCCCCCCACCCTGCACCCCACACCCTCACACTTCTCCCCACACCTCCCCCAGCCACCACCTCACCCCCCCCCATCACCATGCCATTTTCACTGACCCCACTGCTAAAGGTTTCTGGGATATTTGGCACAGGAAATTGTGCCGGTGATAACGAGCACTGAATGGTGGTCATTGTGTCCGCATGCTTCACGGAGGTGCGAGGTTAAAGGTACGCAAACAAAAAAAGCCACTTAAGTGTTCTTGGCCATTTTGTGTTCCTCGAAGACACCGGGGTAACCGTCAAACGCACCAGAACATCAACAGGCCGATGCACGCACCACCTCCTTCATGAATGGAAAATAAATATACAAGCGGCAGGTGTGTGCGACTCTGACCATGCAACCCAAACTATAATGACAAATACGAATGTTGATCTTCCACGAAGCTCATGGTCCACCCTATACCGCATCCGTACAAACCATTGCAGTAGATGCGGATACCGGACTGTGGGTCATCCAGAACAGATTGTACAATGATTCAATGCCCGATACACAAATATGAAGGAGACATCACAGCAATAAACCACCGCTGCTGCCGACACGGTTATCTGGCTTGACCACCTGAATGTGAAATTGCAGTTGCTGCTCTGCATCTACATTGGCAGCCATACGAAAGAAAGAATAACAATTGGCATTTATTAAGGTGCAATTCATCCAGGGACCTCAGTGTGCCATGTTCAAAGTTAGGAAATATAAATAATATTGAAAGGTCATCCCGAAAGTCCACGAGTCATACGTTGTTGTCCTTCGCCCACACCTCCGATGAGCACGGTTGGCTACGTACGGTGCGAAAAAGTTCAAACGTACATACAAGAGTTGAATATAATTGGGACCCTTACATTGTGACGATTCACGGAATTGCTATCGGGGGTATAGAATTGTTACTTTCCTACAAATAGTGATTCCAATCGCCTCCGACATCACTCGTCTTTGTGGATAACATTGATGATGCAGAAAACATCTGCGGAATATTGCCGCTCGTTGACGCACTTTTTCCTTTAAAACCAAAAATGGGACAACATTTGGCGGGGGACGAAGAGAGGAAATGGAAGTAACGAGGTAAAAGTGGGACGAAAACGATCAATAGTTTTTTTTTATACAAACAAAATAAAAAGCGGTCAAAATCGAACAGCATATCCATTAGCCAGGTGCGTAACGCGATCGTGCAATCGGACGTTCATTAAATAAAAAGATCCGCCCTTCCCCTTTGATTTACCTCAAAGTCAGCCGCCATCGACGCACGCTCCCAATGCACGCCCTCAATGCACGCTCCCAACGCACGCTCCCAATGCATCGCAGCACGATACGTCGATTGATACGGTCTCTGTAAATGCGGCCGCGCCTCAAGACGCTGTTCTCCCGAGCCCTTAATTTGAACAGGGAGTGAATGGCACGGATGACTGGGGGGAGGGGGGGGCAGTTCCAGACCATGGCAGTAAGCAGGAGGAGAGATAGAGGCCTCTCTCTGGAAGGCTCAAGGTGTGTATTCGGGGTGTATTAATGTCAACCCATCGAGTTCAATCTATTATTATGGTCCAGGTATATCTAGCTTAGCGTGCGTGAGAAGCAGTTATTCTCTGCGTACGTAATTGGTTAACACGAGCCCTTACAGGGACCAGAGAGGTGCCACGGTGCACCCCGCACAATGTTTGCAAAACATCTAAGTCCAACTGAAACGACAGATCGGGAAATTGCAGCCGATCGTGAGAGGGGTAATCGTGTTATGCTTACATTTGTTATTTAGTTAGGAAATCCTCTCTGGAGTCTCAAGGCTTTTTCAGGAGGGTCCTGCATTGGGGTGTTTGGAAAATTAATGATGGGTTTCACTAACCCACTTGCTACACTACCATCTACTGGCCATATTGCAGCTGTATAAGGCAGTATATGTTTGGGTTTTACAAATCTGAGTCACAAGTGTGCATCACCGCACCTGGTTTCCAAACACGACAAGCAAGGACATGGGCATGTACAGTTACAAACTTCTGCAGTGGACTTTGTAAGGTGTCACTTTCGTACCGATTACAGTACATGGTTTCCAATGAAGAGTCTTCTATTCAGGTGAAAGTAACCGGTGGGAAAAACGCATTATGGCTCATTCTGGCCGAATTAAATTGTTTAAGTCTCAGTTACATTAATCGTGAGATTTTTAGTGTTTTCACACTATGATTTAATTACACGGATTTTTCGTATTGCTCAGGTAACTTGAAGGGATCTCAGAATCAGTTCTAGGATATCTCCTTCAGCGGGCCACTCGCTAACGCACAACGGCGGCGGTGCAATGCTGTTTGAGAGTTCCAACTGTTTAAGAGCGAGGGTGAAAAAGACAAAACAAAAGGGTTATTAAACATTTTATTTGCCACATCTAGAGGCTTCCCTCACCTCGTCTGGACGCTATCATACATACCATCTGCCGGGAACTTCGTCCTGCGATAGTTTCACTCCCCGTCAGACCATGCGGTCACACAGCTTGGAAATAATTGCAGTCGCACACCGCCACCTAGTGGCAGCATACGAGGTGCACTGCACTCCCTCGTCATTGGCGCGGGAAACGATCCGGAGATTACGAGCGTATAGGAAATTTTCGCGGATAATGATACCGGCCTACGAAAACCTATCTTTTTAAGGAATTACCTTAAATGAATACGTAAATAAACTACGGAATACATGAACATTATCGGAATAACACGTCTCTTTATTTCTCTACCTCTCGATGCAGTCGTTGTAAAGTTCCAGATGCGATTCGAGGACAGCCAAAATCGCGGATATCAAGTTCGCGAATAACGAGGGAATAGCTGTACGTGTGCATGGATTTCCCCTACGGATCTATTTATGTCCCGAGGACTTACTGAAGGGCATTGTCTTCCCTAGGATGCTCTGGGGCCGAGCTGCCCCGCCTCTTCCTGGGGCGCCACGGTGGCGAGATATTAACTACCTCGCCTGGTATACAGGAGTTTGATCCCAACCCTGATGGCTGTATATTTGGACTTTGCACGTTCTCCCCGTGGTCGCGTGGATTTTTCTCCAAGCCCTCCTGTTTTTCCCTCCACGTTTAAAATCAACGCGCGTTTAGAGTACATGGCTGCTATAAATTTCCACTTGCTAAGCCACTTCGTTGAGCTATCATTTGTGGCCAGGTCGCTTCTGAAAAATAACTGTATAGCTCAGTGGGCCACGGGAATGGTTATTTGACCACGGCCATGGTCAGTGTGGGTTGGTGAACGTAAGGAACACGGCAATACTGTACAACAATTAATTTTGCTGCACCACACTCTTGCTGCAGACAATGTAGCGCAGAGGCCCTGTCATGCATGCTGGTCACCCATCCAAGCACCTATCCAGGCCCAATCCTGCTTAGCTTCCCAAAGTGTGAAAAAAATATTTGCATTCCGGTAGGATTTAGCCCAAAGGGCAAGGCTCAATACGAAGAGCGAAACTTGACGAGTAGAGGGAAAACCTAACAGCAAGTGTCATAGCAACAATGAGGGAGCGACCGTGATGAATAAAGGTAAAGTATCTCCGCGTGAAAGGAAAGGACACCCAGGCAAAGGTGAAACCGCCAATTGAGAGAGGTGTGGTCTAAGACATGAGCCAGATACAGCGAGACAGACATATTAAGTTTCCATACAAAATAAGTGGGATACATGGTGTTAAAAGGGTTGGCCTTTTAGTGCAAACATATTAAGTGAAGGGGGCCAACCATTATAAACTCTCATCTGTCAAATGAAATGCCGAGCAGATAAAGCCACTTTGGATATGCCAGGATGAAGAGTTACATGCGTAACATTTTATTTGGTTCACGGTTCTTATCTGGAGAATGTTGAGGATGGAAAATCGATTCAACAAAACTGCAAAGTTGCCTCCCGCTCAACTGATTATGTACATCCTGCCTCAGCGTTTCACCTAACGAGTCTACAGTTACTCGCTTCTACGCAGTTTACCGGACGACTACACAATTCAGAATGCCGAAACGTTGCAGCGGAGAGAGTTACACGGGCAGGGTTTCCCCTGCACATGTTAACTCCCTCGCCTGGTATGCAGGATGTCGCGAGTTCGATTCCGATACTGACGCCCGTCTATTTCGAGTTTCCCTCTCCCCATGGTCACGTGGATATTTCTCCGGGTTCGCCGTCTTTTTCTTCCACACTTAGAAACGTGCATCTAAGAGTGTTTGGCTGCTATAAATTTCCACATGATAAGCCACTTCGTTGAGCTATCATTTGTGGCCAGGTCACTTCTGAAAAAGAGTTATGTAGCTCGGAGGGCCCTTGCCTGGTAAAATAACAAAAAAATAGTTTAGTATAGTTTTTATTTTCATATTTACAGGGTGTCCAACAAAGAGATGGAGCTCAACCGTAGCCGACTCGGATGGTGTCAGTGGTCACCTTATGAATAACTTCGAAGCGGCCTGCTGCTCAAACGAGCACGAGAAGATTTCCATCGACTGATCGCAACCCTGCGCCAGTGGTGTCATGTCCACGTTCCTACGACAGGGGCCAAGCCCATCCCACAGGAGCCGTACATGCACAGCCCCTTTTTTTCCAATTCACTGCAGGAAATGAGGGCCTCCCCACGCCGTGCTCGGACGTGTGGGGGTTATTTGACTATATTCTAGATTTGAAGCTTTTGTGACTGCAAGGATCTATACTCTTTGGTTCTATTCGGTAAAGTCACGTAGGTAAAAAATAAAACAACAAAAATCACGACGTTTCGGCCACTTGTGTTGTTTCGGCCACTTGTGTTGTGGCTGAAACGTCATGATTTTTGTTGTTTTATTTTTTAACTACGTGACTTTACCGAATAGAACCAAAGAGTATAGTTATTTGACTATAGTTTACCGCGCTGATGAGTGCGCGCTGTTCTCCGCTGCCCTATGACGTAGCCCCGCAGCCGAAAACGGTGGTCGCCCATCCAAGCAATGTTCAGGCTATAACCCTGCGTGGCTTCCTGGATCTGACGAGATAATAATTGTAATTGGGACATTTATAGGGCGTAATTCACCCAGGGATCTCTCGGTGCGCAAATTCTGGCTGATTGGGTCACAGGTACTGTGATTGTAAAGCACTGTACATATTTCTATTGAACAACCCCTTGAGGGATGAACTCAAACACATACATGAATTAATAAGACCTTAAAGCAAATGGTTCTTTATTGCAAGGCCCGCGGGTCACTGGCGGCCCTTGGTGGCCTTCAGTGTAGCTCCTGACGGACCCCATCACTGTGTTGTCAAACACCAATGGTTTTAAATGTTTGGCGGCCCTCACACTGATGTCTTATCGGTGGAAGTGCCCCCCACCCCCCCCCCCACCTCCGAAAATAAGTGAAGAACACTGCTTTTAAAAGGCACAAATAAGTTACACAAGCTTCAACTGCGATAAAGCATTGCCAGTGGATGTCAATGCAACAAAAAAAAATAAACCCTCACATCTACGTACTGGTTATAGGCCTCCACAGGGCAACCACGTCACGCAACAAAGCGGCACCCTTTTTAAATGGCACTGAGAAATGCGAGTGGCTCAAGAGGACCCTGCGACCGGTATTTGAACTCGCGCGACCTTTTCCGAGCGCGAGTCGATCACTCGAACAGTGTCGCCGCACGTTCAATTAATCACAGGAAGCCGGAGAGAGATGAGAAACCGAGAGAGAGAGAGAGGTCTTTTCTTACCCTTTCAAATGGGCTCTTCATCCTGATGCCCTTGGCTCCCACAAAGACCCAGCTGTCACGGAATCCCAAGTTACCGATGAAGCTGCTACCCAACTCCATCAGCATATTCCGAGCCTCGTCGTTCAACCTGCGAGCGACGACAATAAATATTTATAATAAAATAACGTCAATCCAAACCCCCCCCCCCTTCCCCCCCCTCAATCGCTCTCGACAAAACTTTCCAGATGTTTTTGCTCGCTGCGCAGGGGCGTCACGCGCGTGTCTGATTAGGACACAAGCGGGACAATAATGGGCCGGCGCATACAATAAAAGCGGTGGATGGGCAACCAGCGTATCTGGAGAAAATCTAGGCAGCATGAAAAACGGTTGACACTCGGAATTTTTTTTTTTAAAAAGCCCAGCACAGGATGGCGACATGAACCCATTTGCTGTACCGCCGACTACTTGATACCTCGCAGCCCCAGTGGGGCCACGTCACACGAGTCGATTAACGTCTTTTGACCTCCTTGCTGAAATGCGGAAATTTTTGTTTCCCAATACAGCAAAAAATGTGGTTACTCCCCTGTGCGTTTAACTTCCGAGCCGTGGCGAGTTTGAGCATTATTCAGGGCGATTTGGTGATAGCCAAATTACGGAGCGCTCGTTATTACGCTTGGCACGGCACATGGCTGGGGCGTGTGGCACGGCACCACGCCAAGACGGCCTTTAGCTCCACGTGCTCCGGCACTAATTATAGGATTGGGAAAACTGCAAGAGAATTACACAGGGTTTAAATGTCAATTGCCACCGATGTTGCACATGGTCAGCGATCGAAAGTGGGCCACCGAGACGTTCAAACAATGTGAGAAAAAAAAAATCGCTCAGCTGAGCAGGAATCGAAATCGGGTCACTGGGTTCATACCGCAGCATGCTAACCCGTACGCTACCGCCCACCCCCCCACAAAAGACAAAGATCCCCCGTGTAGCCTTAACATACTTTTGGGGCAAGTGCTGTTAGCGAGCACCTATGAAGGCCAACACAGCACATAAGGGGGTGGGGGGGGGGGGGTGCCCAGCACCACGCCCGGCCGCCTTTGTGTCCAAAGTGGCAACATTTACACATCGCATCAGGTACTCATTTGAGGCGAGGTAGACCTAAGGGAGGTCCTGAAACAGGTACAGATAATCGTCACTGGTGGTGGCCGTGGGCAGGAATCGAACTCGGATCTCTGCCAGGTTCGTAGCGCATGGCGCTATCCGCTACACTACCGCTCCCCCCAGATAGTATACGCACTCACACGTGATGATAATAATGAAATGTATGTTTGCTCAAGAAGATCCTCGTTCAGCAAATGACTTACTTGCTGGCCGCGTCATCAAAGGACGCGATCATAACGATGGACCCATGCTGTATGCTCTTCAGAAAGATGATGAGATCATTAACATCTGAAAAGCAGCGAACATGACAAATCGGAAATCAAACAAAGTGTAAGTGGGAGCCGGAATTTTAATTCTATTTCTTTCTAATCATTTTATTTGACACGCGTGCTACGAATGACCTCGCTTCCTGCAGCAGTTCAATGAGTAACCAACCCCACCCCCTGCAGCGGTACGACAGAGCGCCTGTGGATTTTAAAGTAACGTTTTTGTTTTGCTCAAATTTGTTTCGGATAGCACAGGGCACGAGACGCATAGAGAAACGTGTTAACCCCAGACAAAAGCAGTTTCTTTCTTTGTGAAACAAATCGCTTTGAAGAGGTCAAAATTGTTGATAATATGGGCCGCTCTTGACTCGTACACCTTAAACACGATAAAGTCTCGATAATTAATCTGTGGGAATCGGTGGTAGGGATGGCCCGGATATTAATCGAACACCGCAAATGCAAAACAAATGCAAAAGATACCAAAAACGTATTTGTTGTTTACTTGCATAGAATTTGGCACGAAGACGTGCAACAGGACGGGGTTTTTTTTTTTTTGGTTCGTAAGAGTTACCCGGTCACCGGGTCGCAAAGGAGGAGTGGCTGGGTAAATGGAACAATGGCATGCGTGTTTGCAGCGCGAGTGGAATACCGCAAGCTGTATATTTTTTTTTTATCCCGCACTCACCGTCTATCCGTCCGCGGGTAAACGAGAGTTACACGCGTAAAGATATTTTATTTAAAGAGACGCTTAAGGAGGAAAACGAGAATTATTTTCCTTCCGACATCCTTCGCTTACCCCCTCCCCACAAGTCCACTGACTTTGTAATCGTGAGTTCACCCGTCATTCCTGTGGCCAGACAAAAAAGGGGGAGACAGAGATAGCAAAAGAGATGCAAAGAAATTACATTTGAAGTTGAAGGACAACTGCGTGAACTTATGTCATCCTCGCAGCAGCAGCGGCTTTTGGCTCGCCATCGAAGAAAGACGGTCACTGCGTCACGCGCTTTCAGATGCGCTTCTGCGGCTGTCTGGAACGCTCTTCCTTCCGATATTAGGAAGTAATTGGAGCTGTGCACTTTTAAATATAGATTGATAACTCATTTCTTTAAAGCTGCTTTTTGTTTAGTTCGTTGTTCTTACCCCACACCTCCGATCAGCACAGCTGGCTTTGTTCGGTGCGAAAGACGTTCAACATACATACAAGAGAATGTAATATGACACTACGAATACATATAAAAGCTAATTCTGTTACGTTATTGTTTGAAACTTCCATCAAATTACAATTGACCGTCTTCCACATGAATATATTCCTGCATTGAGCTAAGAGGCCTGACACCGACCAGGATACTCACTCACCATTCACCACAGCAATATTCATCCCCCTCCCGACGTTGTTTTTCACGCTGCTCATAATTCTGTACAAAAAGAAAATCATACAGTTCTTGAAGAAGCTCCCAGGACATGGAGAGCGAAATGTCAGACATCGCACCGAAGATTGCTCGGTACAACCGAAAAATGCATCGGAGAGCCGCACATCACAACCGCGTGAACCTACGCTGTCGTAAGAGAGAATCTTATGATCTTATTGCACAATTTATTTGATGCATCACGAACACAAATCTTACTTGATGCATCACACACACAAATCGAATGTAAAACAGGTGGGAACAAAAGCCATGTGCCATATTCAAATGCGTATCAGATTAAAGCATTGTTTCGTGCTTTATCAAAATAACTGCAATAAGTATATATTATTTTTGTTATTTGTATTTAAAGGAATGCTAACATTACGTGGTCTGGTAAATAGCTTTGTGTTCTGAACGTTTTAAACAAGAGCGAAAACACACAATTTGGATATTTAAAAGGGCAAGTAAACTCACACCGCTGTTTTAGAGACAAAAAAACCATTCAACAACAACAAGCCACAAAGCCACTCATCAGCGGCGCACGGCAACGTAGCGAACACTTTCAATGTCGGCAAAGCCCAGGGGTCGACAACCAAAACAACAACAAGCATTATTTTCGAATTCGGTAAACCCCCTCCCCCCCCCCCCAATATTTGAAAAGCCACAATGCCAAGTGGTGAATACGAAACTGAGGTTCTTAAATAAATAAAGTCACGTAAAAGTCCTCAATGAGCCGTGCGCTGCTACAAAGCCGCAGGCTGCCCGAGACACAACAAGGAGGAGCCATTTATTTTGAATTTCAAGAGCCGCGCACTGCAGTCCTTAAAAAAAACAAAGAGCCGCGTGCGGTACCGGAGCCGCAAGATGCCGATCCCCCGGAAAAGCCTCACGACGGACTAGCCGAACATGTGCGGCAAAAAAAAAAGAAACAACCTGTCAGACAGAAACGATTTCCCCCGGCAGGCAGGGTCGCATGTCCGGTGGAGGAGGAGACGGCGGCTAATTGAACGATTGATAAGCCTCCGTACAATTGACGTCGCTCACATCGGACACGCGCTCGCGCGTCTTGAGTAACCGTGGAAAATTCGCGCCGGATTACGTTTGTCATGCATGCAGATTCAAGACAGAGGCCTGCGCTGTGCGACCAAAAATGCCCGCGATTTGTCAAGCGCAAGTAGCAGGATAGGTCATGATTCACACCCGCCTGCCCACCGTCCCCCCATCGTCCCACCGTGATTCTACGAACTGTCAAGATTTGGGGGTTGCGATTTAATTCGTCTCGTTTTCTCACGTCTCGCTTGTGGTTTTGTCCACTTCCACCGGCCTGATATCATGATCGTTATCAACCATGATCGATCCACTGCTAGATGAAGGCCTCTCGCCGCTGCCGCCACCACCCAGGAGCAGACTCATGAATATACCAGAAGTTTCCCTTCCCTTCACCCCCCACCAGTGTAATGTAAGCATTGTGTTTTCTCATATCAGAGCTATTATTATCATGTGATGTCCTAATATACAGCTTCTGCTGTATCACCGTGCTATGAAAAGGCAGTTGAGCCAAAGTATACCAATGATACATATAATTTGCATACATTGTAACTTGAACAAATGGAATATGCATACTCTTTGTTTTTTTCGGTAAAGTCACGTAGGTAAAATAAATGAAAACAACTCAATTAAATCACGACGTTTCGGAGGCAACACAAGCTTCCGTCTTCAGGTGGAAACCGTCACCGTGGTGGTTTCCACCTGAAGACGGAAGCTTGTGCTGCCTCCGAAACGTCGCGATTCAATCGAGTTGTTTTCATTTATTTTATTTTACCTACGTGACTTTACCGGAAAAAAACAAAGAGTATGAATCCTTGCAGTCACGAAAGCTTCAAATCTAGAATGGAATATGCATGTTAATCCACTGCTGGATGATGGCCTCCCCGCACCGTGTGGGTCGTCGAGTTAGATTTGCCCTGTTGTTGCACGGCACATTGCAGCAATGGGTTTTGCAGCACTGCCCTCTGCTGCCCACAGCAGGCACGCTGCATTAATCACACAACACAGCCTTGGCCGGGCAGTGGTGTTTGTACGCTGCACGTGGCTGCTGTGATCCTGCACTGTGGAGGCTGCAGTCAGGGTTGGTGGATCACCGCACACACAGATGTTGTGAAACTCTCTTCCCGTGGGTGCCACGGTGGTGAGATGTTAACTGCCTCACTTGGTATACAGGAGGTTGTGGGTTTGACCCCGATCCTGACACCCGTAAATTTGGAGTTTGCATGTTCTCCCCGTGATCGCGTGGATTTTTCTCCGGGTTCTCTGGTTTTTCCCTCTACATTTCGAATCAACAAACATTTAAAGCATTTGGCACCTGTAAATTTCCGCACGATGATAAGCCACTTTCGTTGGGTGATCATTTGTGGCCAGGTCGCTTCTGCAAAAGAGCTATATATAGCTCAGTGGGCCTTACCTGGTAAAAAAAATCGTTTAATGTTTTTTGAGCCGCCAAGTAGCTTTCAAAGTCGTGTAAGAATGAGCGCCGCCAGCCACAGGCCAGAGCTCGGGCTCATGGATATACCCTGAGCATGGCTGAGAGACCATGGCTCGGAGCCTGCTCAAGTACAGCATGGCTCCGAGTCACGTTTAACTTGTCTCACTTGAAGCCAGGGCCAAGCCTGAGCCGAGAGGCTTGACTGAGAAAACGGGCCTAAGAATGTAAAAGTTGGGGCCTGAGCCTTTAGTAGGGGGTGGGGAGCTCAGCCCCCTACAGCGCCCCCCCCCCCCCCACTTCTGCCCCTCCCTCCCTGCCCCTACTGCTGTGACAGTTTGAATGGCTGTGTGGCTGTTGCGGCAGCTGCATGTGTGTAGAAGGGCTCACATCTGATCCTCCAGGCAGATTTTGGGTCCCACGATGTTGGCTGCCCCGGAGAGCAATCGGAAGGCGAAGTGTTTCTCCGGGCACGCCTCGGCAAGCCCGCATTTGTAACCGAGCAGCTTCGGGTCTGCGATTCAACGCACATTAAAAAACAAACAAAAACGAGCAAGCAGGCAAACGTAAAGATGGGCATGATCATATCCGGTGGCGAGATGTTCAGGGTTACATGGGTGGCGAGATGCTAAACTGTCTCGCCCGGTATGCGGGAGGTCGTGGGTTTGATCCTGACCCTGACGTCTGTACATTTGGAGTTTGCGTGTTCTCCCCGTGGTCGTGTGGATTTTTCTCCGGGTCCTCCGCGGGTTTTCCCTCCACATTTAGAAAAATGCGTTCAAGAGTATTTGGCTGCTATAAATTTCCACGTGATAGCCCACGTTGAGCTATCACTTGTGATAGCCAGGCCGCTTCTGAAAAAAATAGCGACATAGAGATCGGTCGGCCTTACCTGGTAAAATAAAAAAAAAACAGTCTAAATAGTTTCGTTTTTAGAACGCATTGTGGAGGTGAGAGTTAGTGTTGGCACGGACGTCGCATGATGGGTGCGGGCACAGCAATTTCTTCCTTGGGGCACTGCTGCCAGAAGTTGCTGCGCCCACAAGTGTCTCACAAGCGCCCTCCTGTGTCTCTTCTGTCCCACTCTTTCACGATAGGCCACACATCTTAGGGGGATTCATAATAAAGGTTTTTTGGGTTAGATCGCGTCATTTATCAATGTGTCGTAACCCTCCACCACCCGACACGGCCAATCAGTAAAAAAGTTTCGATTTAAAGCTTTCGTGACTGCACAAAAGACAAATAGTTCACTACTTTAGCCCACCGGTGTGTTGAAGAGTAAATCCACAACATTTACAATTTTTGAGTACGACGTTTCGCTGGTAATTACATCCAGCATCATCGGGCAATTTGCCAGAATGAAGCCCTCACTTGCTCCCGGCATTAAATAGAGCAGCAGGGTGACGTCATCATTTATATCAATAACGCGCTCTAACCCAAAAAAGTTTATCATGAATAATATTGGTCGCGAAAGCCTACGTGTTAAACTGATGTTAGGGGGATGCATGCGAGTACGCACACTTTAGCCCACCGCACGCGACCTGTGATCGACTAAAAGAAAGCGACAAGAACCTGTTGTTAATGTAATCATGCATGTATGTTGAACTTCTTTCGCACCGTATGTAGCCAATCGTGCTAATCGGAGGTGTGGGGGAGGGACAAAAAACTAAACACAAACACCAGCTGTAAAGAAATCAGTTTTTAAATCGAGATGATTTAAAAGTGCACAGCTTCCTAATATGGGAAGGAAGAGCGTTCCAGACGGCAGCAGAAGCGCATCTGAAAGCGCGCGATGCAGTGACCACCGTCTTTCTTCGATGGCTAGGTAAAAAGCCAATGCGAGGATGACCGGAGTTTTTACGTGAAAACACGACACGGAGGTTGAGATAGGTGGGACACGTTTAAATGATGGGGGGGGGGCAAGGTTACAGAGTCGCACCCAAAAGTCGGAGACCAAGGGGAAGCCCCCCAAACTAGACGACAGTAATGGCGGTGGTGATGAAGAAACTGTAAGAGCGGTTCTTGAAGGTCTGTTGACAACTGTGCAACAACTAGCTGACCTAGCAGAAGGAAGTGGTGACGTGGAGCACCGATGGAATTTGCCACCATGGCTTCTTGTGCTTTGAACGTATAATTTTGTTATTTACATTTATAGATGATTTCTTTCAGCCAGACGACATCGTTGGAAAATGAAAGACATGCCAGTGCTAATTTTGATCGTGCAGCCCAAAACTATGGCCCGCACAGTAAAACAACTGCAGTCGGCGCTCCCTTCAATGGAGGAAGAACAGAAAAACGCCACGAACTCTCGTCTCCTGAAGCTCTCTCTTCATCGTGACTAGGAGACCTCGACATTGGCCTTTAGCACCTGATCACATTGCCATCATACGCAAGAGCAAATCATTGACTGGTTACGCTTAGGTGTCGGGAATGGCCGTGCACTTGCAAGGACTGTACTCGTAAATGGGGCGACTCGCTCGGAGAGTCTTGTGGTTTGTTACATAAACATTTACCACGTGGCACGCAAACCTCAAAAACGAGTAAAAAAGACTCCCCCCCACCACATTCATCATGAACATCGCATTTATCGTCGTCATCATCAGCTATGTCTACCTATCCACTGCTGGACGATGGCCTTTCCATGCCATAACCACCCCGCGATGCCACAATGCATCTTCGCTCCTGTACATGAATCGACATCATCGCTCCGTCTCCACGGAGGTCGCACTCAGGCGTTTGCCTTGTTTCATTGTCTTGACCGCCGGCCATTGTCCCTTCTAGCGACGTGCCCCGTCAATCCAACCTGTTGCTCGGGATTGCTGGCCTATGACCAAATCACCCAGAATGCACCCAATTCAGTGAGATTTCGGAAGCCAAGCAGATTGAGCCTGCAGAATGCCTAGATGAGCAATCACAATTAATAACAATCGGCTGATACAGGCTACTGCTGCGGGTCTATATTGTGGGCAGCAGAGGGCAGTCCAGCAAAATCTATTGCTATGCTTCCTGCCCCTTCACCAACCCACCCTCTGGCAGTGAAGTATGGTCAAATATCCTTCACTGCCAACAGGGCATGAGAATAGCTTCATGTAGCAGTGGGTTGACACAAAAGAGTTGCAGAAAAAAACCCCGTTTCCAGTATGTATTGTGCATGGGTAATCCACAACGCCGCATGGCAGGCCACTGTTCCACCGGGCTGTCTTAAAGCTAACATCGAAGCAACGGTGACTGTAACCGAAGCAACAAAACCTTCATATTCATTCCAACCCACTACCTCACCTGCAAGGCAAGATACACAATCCACATGTGCTTGCCGAGAAAAATGTCAGAGCCTTTATTTCAACCGGGCGGCGAGAGTACATGGAGACTCAAAGCCTGTTATTCAAGAACGAGAACACATCTCTTTACAGGAGGAAGTCCTCGCTTATAAACATCGGGCAGTTCGCCAGCAACGGCTGAAGCTAGCAAGCCCCAATTCTGCTGTTGAGACCCCGATGGTCGAGACCGCTCCAGAGTTTTTCCTGCGTTGAATCGATTCACTCTCGGAAGGGCCCCCCCCCCCCCCCCTTCATGGGCGATGTGCGAGACAAATACGGGAGGGAAGCAATATTTATTTATTTATTTCCAAGGGACACCCACGTGACGGGAGCAAATACGAGGCAGGACAACAAAAGAATTGCACGAAAAGAAAATCAAGCGCAACGTGTAAATATCCACAACGGATTAAGGAAAGGCCAAGGAAGATGAACAGAGGTGCAAAACTTAACAGAAAGAGGATGAACACAAAGTGTTAGTTAACAAACTTTTTTATATAAGTAATCAATAAGTAATCAATCTGGAGTCATCAAAGACAATATTGCCGGATTAACCCTTTCCCATTCTGAGACATCTGCAAGTTGCAGGATGGGTCCCGTTCACCGCCGAATCTCTGAAAACGCAAGTACAGTTCCTGTTCATTTTATTCAGAGGCATAGCGCCGTTTATTTTAAAGACATTGTAACCGTAGCGACATAACCGCCACCATGCGATAGCTGGCGAAAGAAGGTGCAATACGCGCCCTCACGCATTGGCCTCCTGGGAGCCTTGGTACAGGTTCAAGTTATTATTACGTTGTATGACGTACACGTACGTACATAATTGGAACGGGAAAAGGCTTGAGAGAACAGATGGTTCTTGCAGGAAAGGGACGCAGGATTTGGCTCTTGAAGTTCCACGGTCGGAAGGAACTTTTGACCAAATTCGAAGACGCTCGTTCTCGGCGCATGGCAACGTAGTTGTGTGGCGCCTTCTCAGATTTTGAGAACTAAAGTCCGGGTTAGGAAAAGCAGATCGGGTTAATAATGGCAGAGCCATAGCATGCACTCTTAAAACTAACGAAGTCCAATCTAACAGATTATTTGGTGATGACGCCACTCCATTTGGCAGTGGTGGACGAGCAAAAACAACACCAAACGAACACGTTCGTCAATAACAGTGTGGCCTTTAAAAGAAATGGGAAAAATAAACACAATAGGTGACATTTTGGGCAATTGCCCTTCTTCACAGCACATAGAGAGAGGTCCGAGAGATCAGCCCTCGTGCGATCTGTTGACTTCCTGCCCCTGCTCGAGTCAACTCAAGATCTCGGCCAAGATCTCGGCCAAGATCTCAGCCTTTGAACGACTGCCTCCTCCTCCACATCGAAGGTTAAACGGTAAAGGTGCAGCCCCTGCAAGTGCTTGCTCATGCCACTGCTGGCATAAGGGCCATCCTCGAGAGGTGTTCTACTTATTAATTCGACGGTGGCGAGACCTCCTCGAAGGAAGGTGGCGGGTACCTCGCACTTTACCCCACCACTGCACTTAACCTGCCCACTGGTCGACTAACTGTGGCATGCCCTGCTTATACCGCTGGGCGAACAGAGGCGTTGAGGTGGGGGGGTTAGGAAACTTGCACCATTGTTAGAACTGCCGTGCCAGGAAATTCAGTTAAAAACAGTAACTTTTAAATATCTGCTATCAAAAAAAACAGTTAGCTATGTATTATTTCTTTCTCGAGAATGCTCATTTGCCACTGACGGATGTTGATGCGGATGCAATCGGGACACTTTATTAAACTCTATTGCTAATAACAAAAAAGATTTAGAAACCCCCATCATCACAGAACAAGTGCAGGCCCGATAACCACGAGGTACAAACAACACGGAGAAACATGTAAAGAGCACTCCGCCTTTGTGCGTTATAAAAGAAAAAAACCCCCATCGGCAGTTCCTGAACAAGTGCAGGGTGGGCCTTCTGTCAGTCACATTTGCGGTCAGCCTTTCACGTTTGCTCCAATTATTTATTTTAAGGGGACCTATAACCACACAACGCAAATTTTCAGAAACTGCTGCTGCTGTTTTTTTTTTTACACAGAGCACCGTAATCCCCACCGGAACGCACCCAACGCCATGGAGTTACTCACTACTAACCTGATCGCCGAGGAGTGCCGACTGTGTCTGGAGGCGACAAGACAGAGAAGAGAACAATATTCAGAACTCGCGTGGAGAGTACACCGGATCGAACACACGTGTAACCGCATCCAGGAATTCCACACGAGTGTTTTGACACTTGCGACGGTGATAAACGTTGTGTCATATTATACAACGAACCAAGACACTCCATTGCCAGTGGTGCACTAGCACACATTGGAAAAAGTCGACAACAATGCACTAAAGAGGAGAAAATATTAATGTGTCATACTCTCCAGATAAGATATGGTACTCTGGAAAGACACACTATTACGTAAATCTGGTGCCACACTTAGACACTCCCCTGGATTGTGTAAGTGTGGCACCATCAACATATGTACACAATCCCCTGGATTGTGTACATATGTTGAACTTCTTTCGCAATGTACGTAGCCAACCGTGCTAATCGGAGGTGCTGTGGGAAGAGCAACAAACTATATATATAACACAAAATGCGGTTCTAAAGAAATTGGTTTTTAAATTAGGCACCCCCAACTGTTGCTTTAAAACACGGGGGAATGTAGCGTGTCTCGCAATCTGGATAACGCGGTAGGAGGCAACGTTTCGGGAAATGGCCCTTCTTCCGGGCAGAGGTGCGAAAACTTTACCCAAGGGTGTGACGGTATCATTTTGAGGGTATAGGTTCATCCAAACTGAAATTAGTTGCCTGCTCTGTGATCTACAGACAGAAGTTGAGGCCTACTCCCCTGAACAGTTGGGTACCAAAGGTAAAAATGTATCTCATAGGTTGTAAAGTTACTTTGAATCGAAGACGTACGGACAGGCCTAAGTTGAGTGAGCTGCAGCTGAAGAGCTTCTGAAAAAAAGTATTATTCGATTTGTGCGACCGGTGCAGTTGAGCACAAACGTGATGCAAATTAACTTAAAAAGTGCATCCACATATGTACGGGAAACCGATTTCGCGATAATCATCATACTGGGTTGCATGGAACAATACCGTGGGAAACGGATTCTGATGTGTACACGTTCACCCACAGTTTCCCCAACCACTCACAGTAATTACTCGGTCATAAAACACGCAAAAACTTATCACCCGCGTGACTTTGAGGTGCACGACAGAGAGATGTCTCCTTCTGAACAATCGTCAGAAGGAAACGCAACCAAGGCTGAAGGTGGGCCATAGGTGGAAATTCCTCGTTCATATGACGAGGCCAAGTATATCCATTGGGGAAACAACTAAATCAAGGATGACTTTGCCAGAGGGATGAATTAAGGCTCAGCTGATCCCTCCCCCACCACGCCCGTGCCCGACCAGGTATTGAACCTACAACCTTCCAATTGCGAGACTTTTTGTGCTCTAACCGCTGCATCCTCCCAAACAGAATGAGGTTTCTAGTTTAAGAAGATTATTTAACCTTTCCCATGAGTACGTATGCATGTTGAACTTCGTTTGCACCATACGAAGCCAACCGTGATAATTGGAGGTGCCGGAAGGGTACTGAAAGCACTGTGCATCACAAACAAAAAGATATCACTCTTTGGGTCTTTCGGTAAAGGCACGTAGATAAATAAAAAATAATTTAAAAAATGTTTTATATCTACGTGACTTTACCGAAAGACCCAAAGAGTATGAATTCCTGCAGTCACGAAAGCTTTAAGTCAAGATAAAGATATACATTGTTCGCCAAGGTGTGCAAAAACTAAACAATTTATTTGTATTTTGATTTAAAGCTTTCGTGACTGCAGTAATTCATATTCTTAGTTCTTTCGGTAAAGTCACGTTGAAGGGAAAGAACTAAGAATATAATTTATTTGTATTTTACCAGGTAAGGCCAACTGAGCTATATAACTCCATTTCAGAAGTGACCAGACCACAAACGAAGTGGCTTATGTGGAAATGTATAGCACGTTATCACGGGGAGAACATGCAAACTTTAAATATACAGGGGTCAGGGTCGGGATGGCACTCACAACGTCCTGAATACCCGGGGGCGAGGTTGTTAACATCTCGCCACCGTGGCACCCCTAAATAAGGTACGAGGGGAACTGCTTTCGAGAACCGAACGCGGGAGAAAATAAACATGGGTTGAGGTGGTGTTTAAAACACACCGCCGCCATCGCCTCCGCATAACGAACAACACTGGGTAGGGCGTTCATGGGCAGAGGGGTGTGGTGGGGACTTAAGAGACCTGGCCAGATTGGTTTAGTTGGTCATAGGGCCTTTGCCCTCACGCATCACCATCGCCTTCGCCGTTACATTCCGGTACTCGGTTCTCACCGTCGACGAGGAATCGCAGATTCTTGTGAAACCTGCTCTCCACCATCCGGTGGCCTAAATACAGCACCAGCACCGTTATAGTCCCGGCCAGCAGCATGCGTATCATCGCTGCGCACACACAAACACAAACACAAACATTCACCCATGTAGCCTACACAAGAGTGCTGGGCCAAGTGCTGTTAGCGAGGCTGGCACAAGCGGGTGTGGTGTGCACGGCACCATGCCTGGGCCGCATTCGTCTCCCCCGTGCTGACGTTTTGCATGCCTTACCAGTTACTCAGTGAAGCGCGAGTAGGCAAGGTCAATGGACTGGTTCCGTTAACCGCCACCGATGTTTGCCGTGGCCGGGAAATGAAACGTGGGCCGCTGGGCTGGCAACCAAGTATGCTAACCATTGCGCCACCGCTCCACACACACACAGATATTCTCACACACGCACAAGCACATGCAAAGCCAACTACCAAACTAAGATAAGGATTGCCATTGATTGGTGTTTCATGCACTCACTGTATGCGGCCACAACTTTGACTCTGAACAGGGAAGTCAAGCGAAAAGTGGAAACAACACGTGAGCGATGTGGGCGAGGGGAGGGCAAAGAGAAGGCTCCCGAGCTGGCTGAAGTCCGATCACAATAACCGAGATGAGGCAGAAGCTGTGGAATGGGTCACTGTCAGTGGTGATATCTTGGTGGAGTTCTTGAAGGCAGGAAGGATGCTGGGAAAGCGACCAACAGGCAGCAAAATGAGCATTGCTGCTGCTTATCAACAGTGAAATTAAGAAGCTGAAGGCCAGGGGAGGATGGACAGAGTTTGAGCCAGACAACTAAAGACTAAGATGTTAACTACCTCACCTGGTATACAGGAGGCGGTGGGTTCGATCCCGACCCTTACGCCTGTATATTTGGAGTTTGCACGTTCTCCCCGTGGTCATGTGGATTTTTCTCCGGTTCTTCCGGTTTTTCCCTCCACAATTAGAATCAACGTCACGGCGTTTTGAGTGTTTTTGGCAGCGATACATTTCCACGTGACAAGCCACTTCGTTGAGCGATCGTTTGTGACTACCAGGTCGCTTCTGAGAAAAAGCTACATAGCGCAGTAGGCCTTACAAGGAAAAAATAAAAATAGTAAATAGTCAATGGTGAACAACGCGCAGGGAGGCAGCAGTTAAACGGGGCAATAAATTTGGTAAGGAAGGAAGAGGGCAATAAACACAGATGAGGAACGGTAGCAATAGGGTAATGCTGGAGAGAAGACATGCGACAAGGACGCGCGCAAACAGCCACCACCCTCAAGCCGAAACACCAGCGGCTCATTTCATACGCGACCCATCTGACTGGGAACCGACGAGAGAGACACAGGCAACATTAACTGTGTCAGGGAGGACAGCGAAGACGGCCAGCAGAAGGGACGACAGCTGTGAGACGACATCACCGAGTTCTGGGGGCAGGGATGCACCGCTAATTGACAGAGACTCAACTAAGGAATGGAAGAAAATTCAACGGGGGAGGGACGAGCCTTTGCCCAACAGCGGGAAGTTACAGGCCCAAAGAACACAACAAGATCTGATAAGGAGCACAGAACCCCGAGATTAGGGGAAGGTGATGGTAGCTGGTGGCAGTGAATGCCCCCCCCCAGCTACCCCAGCTTAAAGTGAAACACATTGTTCGGTGATAATGCTTTGGCAGTGGCGCTTAAAATGTAGCTCTTGTCTAAGCTTACAATGGCAACACACATGGAGAAGATAAGCGATAGGCATGGAAATGATTGTGGTCACTTACCACAATCTCTTTCAAAAATAAGCAGAATTTCCATAAGTGAAGACATGGAATGGAGTTCTGCCTATGTATGCATTTGCCGATGACACTCCATGGCAATGTATAGTGATTTTGTGTTGGATACTGCCTTTTGCGTTTAACAGCGTCTAATCGTTAATATGGAATGCTCGTGTAAATAACACCAGGTAACCGAACGGCATTTTGCTGATAAGGCCCAGAAGGATCACAATCTGCCCAGAGTTTTCCTGGTTCAACAAATTCTGCTTGATAGCATTGAACCTAGAAAGCCAATAGGCTGCCCGACTAAAACATATCTTTTGTTTATATGTGAAGATTTCAAAGTGAAGATCTGCACATACCTATATCGGCAATATTGGTGGTACACCTACCTGAAGTCCTCATTGTTGAATGGGCACCGGAAAATACAATGCTTCACTTCTCCAGCGAACCAACTTAAAGAGGTCCTGAGAACAGACAGAAAAGCAAAGCAGAAACTATTACAGCAAAATAATATCACAATAAAATAAACAACACAGACATTTAAATCCTTGATCTAATAATACACGAAACCCTTTTACTCGCGGATTATATTCCCAGTCCGCAATTGCTCCAGTGGAACACCGCGGTGGAGTGAAAAAAGTTGCCGGAACGCAACACCGTGATCCGTAGAAGTTGGCACGGCTAACGCAGAGCTGCAGTAGCGGAGCTGCAGAGAAATGAGGAATGGTGAATGTCTCTATTTCGCAAATAATAACTCTTACGTTTCGCATCTGCACAGACAAAGCTGTGACCGATGTCATTTTTGCTTATTGGCATTTTTTTTAGACTGCGCCATTTGGGTCGTAGCTAAACTCACAATCGGCAAAGCAATCGCGGATTAATTTGCCCGTGGGTCACGTGCCACGTTTCCCCTCTAATCCGCAAACTTTTCACGGATAAATGGAATCGCGCAGCAACTCTTGATCCGTGGCACGCCACGTCGGTGCGAAAACATTGTCGCGGATTTATTTGGTCTAACCCTCCACGGCCCACGACAGATTACAGGATTGTCGTTGATATGGTACCCCCCCCCCCCACTCCCACATCAACGCAGATTTATTGAATTTCTCCTCTTTCAGTTGCCTTTCTACTCCCGAATATTTATATGGTTCAACTTTAAATTCAGAAAACGGCGTAACAGTTAGGACGCTGCAATCCAGAGCTCGCCGCCATTCAACTGGATCTTCTTGCGCGACGGTTAAAATAATGGACACGTTTATTAAATCCCTTCCACGGTATAAATGGGTACAGGCCACAGTTAGTCGATCGGTAGGTAGGTCATGTTCGGTGAAGTAAAGCGTGGGTACTCCCACCTCTTCCAACACATCTGGTCAGCGTGGAAGAGTAGGCCAAATACCCTCTAAAGCTGCCACTTATGGAGGCTCTTCCCGCCAGCAGTCGCCTGAGCAAGCAACTTTGGGACCGTACCTTCCTGCTTAAATCAGAGCTGGATTATCCGATTACGCTCCCATTGATCAGTTCGATCACTTAACTAATCAATAATGTGCGGAAGGAATAGCCCAGCCTGCGTTTCCACGTGCCGCTGGACGGGAGGTGATGGTGAGGGGGTGGGTTTTGCTGACGTCACCGGCGCCACTAGAAGCGGTGCCATTGCGTGCCGTCACATTGGGGGTGTGGCGGGATGGGGTGAGGGGGGGGCTTCCGCCCTTCGTTAAGGTGCCCGAATTAATCATCCACCGCAAAAATCAATGGCATTTGTTTTTGATCAACTGACTTCTTTGACGATTGCTTTGCAGATAAGCTTTAACCAACGAAACGTTTACGTAAAGAAAAAAAGAGTTAAACACAAACTTTCGCCGTGTATGAAAGGGTAGAAAGTGCCACAACTCCGGTCTCGTGGAACGAAAATGGGAAGTGTAAATGTCGATTTACAGCCTTTTGTCAATACATGGCTGGAGGATGCCACATCCCCCCCCAAAGAAGTGCAGGTTAGTGATGTGGATGTTATAAGACCGCAAGCATGCACGATGCAGAAACCACAGACGTACCGTACAAGAATGGTTCTTGCCACACTGTTTTCTGCAGCCCACAAACATTTCCCCAGAAGACGGCCTTCAACAAAAACCTGTTCGGCATCGTCAGGGGTCGACAAACTGCGGCTCTTGAAGGACCGCTCCGTGACGTTATTCACGGGCTTTTCCAGCTCTCGAAATATTGACTTTTTTTTTAAACAAAAATTAGAAAAAAATGGTTCTTGCTATTTTTTGTTGCCGACCCCTGGGCTAGGGGGGATAGTGCTAAAGGTAGTGGCGTGGTGGCGAGTCCGACAGGTGTGTGTGTGTCTGTTCGTGAGCACCTATGGAAGCCGCAACGGCACACAAGGGCTTGTGGGTGGCGGTGTGGTCAGAATTTGCACTTTGACTGACTGTCTCTCCCACGCTCATGTTGACACAACCACACCAGGAGGAACGTTAGACACAAAGACGGCTTCGTGACGTTATTAACGCGCATTTCGTCTCTTGAAATATTTCTATATTTTTACCAAATTCTAAACGAACGGCTCTTCTTGTTATTTTGGTTTGCCGACCCCTGGGCTTGGTGGTCACGCATCCAAAGCAATTACTCAGACTCTACTCCTACTCCGCTTTCGAGATAGGGATGAACTCGGACACGCTGCCGGTGATTTTGACCAAAGGCAGTATGTCGACAATGATGACGATGACGGTGAGAATGCACTGTAAAGGGAACGCAATAAGGTTTTAAAATGTGCAAAGCAACATTTCAGTCCACAAACATAGTGTGTGTGCAGTGATGAAGCATACAAATGATGGTACATCTTCTTTGGTTCTTTCGGTAAAGTCACGTAGAATGAGAATAAAATAATAAATTGATAAAATAAAATAACACAATAATATATTATAATATTATAATATATTATAATAATATATCACAATAATAATATAATAATATAATAAAATATATAATAATATATTATAATAATATATTATTATATATTATAATATTATTGTGTTATTTTATTTTATCAATTTATTATTTTATTCTCATTCTACGTGACTTTACCGAAAGAACCAAAGAAGATGAATCATTGCAGTCACGAAAGCTTTAAAACTAAATTTAAATGATGGTACCGTTTTGAAAGACATTTTCCAGTTTTTCTACATGACAAGCGCTGGGTGGAGTAATCTCGTGAGGGGGGGGGGGGGGACAGACAATTATTTATTTTATCTCATTTAAATATATTGCCTGGAAAATCCCTTGAGATGTAACATCTCTAAAAAGTAAACCATGTTTTATTTGACCAGGTAAGGCCCACTGAGCTATATAGCTCTTTTTCAGAAGTGACCTGACCACAAATGACAGCTTAAAGGAAGTGGCTCATCGTGTGAAATTTTTATAACAGCCAAATACTCTAAACGCATCATGTTTATAAATGTGAAGGGAAAAACCGGAAGACCGGGAGAAAAATACACGCGACCACGGGGAAAACATGCAGACTCCCAAGCATACAGCAGGCGTCAAGGGTTGGGTTCGAACCCATGCTTCCAGAATACCGGGCGAGGGAGTTAACATCTCGCCAACGTGGCGCTCGTTTTTCACAAGCAAGTCCGAGGTGTCACGTGACACACAGAGCAACACGAAACCACACATGAACAAACACAGTAACATATTTAAATAAATCATTATACCTTCATACTATGTGTAACTGTGTGTCAACCATACTGGCTATAAACTATGTGCTGTAAACATTTTTTGACGAAGTACAGATTATTGAAAGCACTCCCCCCATCCCCATCCACCTGTATTTAACAGCATGAATTGAGTATTTAAAATCTAGTTGTACAGAATCACCTTAAATTATGACTTAAAACTTTCGTGACCGCAGGAATTCATATTCTTGGTTCTTTCGGTAAAGTCACGTAGAGAGAAAATAAAAATTAAAGAAAAAAATAAATTCAAATAACAAATAATTTTTTATTTACATTTTTTTCTACGTGACTTTACCGAAAGAACCAAGAACAGAATCACCTTATTGAAAAAGGGTTTCTCCATAGCAAGACATGATCTCTCCAAAGGGCTGTAAAAGACCCCACCGGTCAGTTGAGAATAATATTCTACGAGACAATCTCTACCAAATTATGAGCAGCGCCGTCACAGCCACCTTCAATTGAAAACTCATTTCTTTAGGGAGAGTTAAAAATACATTTTTTCGAACAGTTTTTTTGTGTTCAGTTTGTTGTCCTTCCCCCGCACCTCCGTTTAAGCACGGTTGGTTACGTACGGTGCGAAAGAAGATGGCTCTCCGTAGTACTGCACTGTAGACTATTCTCCAGATCATAACATGACCATGTTGGCCAGTGCAGGTTAGTGGAGCGGGGGGAGAGGTTCAGAACTGGTTAATATATCAAAGCCATTGATGTTAGTTGTGGCCGGGAATCGAACTCGGGTCACCAGGTTCGGAGTGCAGGTCTTAAATCACTGCGCAGCCGCCACTCCTCCTATGTGCTTTGCGTTATTTAAAAAAGAATATCCAAGACCATGATGTTACCGCAACCACATACGTTGACGGCATGTATTCCAAAACAACTACCGTCGTTCGCAATTTAGTGGTGGTGACATCACCACGACGCTTGTGCCAAGCTAGGTGCACCTTAAGGCCACGTAAAGTGTTGAAGGCCTGCTGACAGGTCACGGAACAGATCCAGGTGGGTTGATTAACTGAGATGACTTGCAGATGCATCTGTGCTCCCCACTCTGGCAACTTGTTGCGTTTTTGCCGACCGGCACTCCGCTCGTTGTGAACGTCGCTTCTCTGCCCTCCGTTGTTGCTGCAGGGCGACTGCCTCCAACTACCCAGAAGCAGCATTCATCACGAGCCTCCTCCATGGAGGTCGACCTTGACACCGCTGGTACCATTCATCGGCAAGTCCATTCGGCTCCACATCCTTCTCTACCACATGAGTCCATCCAGGGGCGGAGCCACAGGGGGGGCTGGGGGGGGGGGTTCAGCTCCCCCTGAAATTTTGGGAAAGCCGGTAATCGGGATAACCGGATATCTGGCTGCTGTAAAATGCAGGCTGCCACCTTGTGCTGCCCTGCAGGCTGCTTGAGCGGCAGCCTTTCTAACTTCTCGAACTTATTAGCCACATCAGCGACTCCTACCTATTAATAAACTCTGCGTTCAAATCCAATATTATTTTTTATACATTTGTGGCGCCCATTGAAAAACATACACTGGATATCTCAGAATATTGAAGTCAGCCCCCCCAAAGTCAAAATCCTGGCTCTGCCCCTGAGTCCATCTCTTGTTCTAATCTGTACCGTGCCCCTTAAAGTCCACTATCCAGCCAACATATTCCAAACACCCACCAATACATACGACACCTGTAGTGTACAGTGTAATGAAAGGGAACTTTGGAAAGTTAAACAAATTAAACATTAACAAGCAAAATTTCTTGTTGTGGTTTTCACACCTGATGATGATTGCTTGTGTTGCAGTCGAAACGTCGTGAGAATTTGATTGTTTTATATTTTTATCATTTTGTTTCCCTTCTACGTGACTTTACCGAAAGAAACCAAGAATATTAACAAGCAATACGAAAAAAAAACTACTTAAGTGTACTAAATTTCTTATCTTCAATTGATAAAATAATTTATAGTACTGCAATATTTTAGCCCTCGCAAAAAACAAACAAATACGTTTGCCTTCCGACAAATGCCTCCTACAGCTGTCTCACTAGCCGTAATCTACCCACTGCTTGATAACTCTGGCTATCGCCTGATAAAGCTGGTCGTAATCACCAGGGAAACCTCGTACACGAATTGGAAATGTTGCGGGTTTATTCCCCAAAACACCAGTGTGCTCAAGTAGTAAATAATTAGATACTACTTGATCAGTTACGCGACAAACCTTACTAATTGGCTGTCCGGTGGTGGCGGGTTTTAATGACCCATTTATATTTACGCAATCTCACCCAAAAAAAAAAACACCCCTTTATGATGGATAATATTGGTCGCGAAAGCCTACTGCTGTGTTAAACTATACCCACCAATGGCTATCATCGATCCATTCTTGCAATGTGTGCTATCCAGGCCCGTTTACTTTTCTCAACAGTCAAGGTTACGCGTTTAACTTACGTTATCTCTATGCCACATTCTCTAAACCGCCTCTCCGTCTGTTAAATCTAGTTTACACACTTTCCAGTTGTTGTTCCGCCTGCAGAACTGCCGTTAACCAGAAATGTCAATAATGCTAAAAAAAAATCTTCCTTGTCCTCCCCGAAGACAAGCCGTGTCATGGGTAATGGGGGGGGCTGGGGAAAATTCCACATCAGATAATCGTCCGGAGGATTCAAAGTTTACGACGTAACTACAGAAATAAACTTAAACCATAAACATCGTTGTGCCGATGAGCAAATCACCCAGAATGCACCCCATCTTATCAGATCTCACAAGTGAAGCAGGGAAGAAGCCTGGGTTAGTCATTTGGATGGGCGATTAACGTGCAAGCCCTGTTGGTTGTCACAGCCGACTGAGGAGTTGTACCAAGTTTTGTGGGCAAGAGAGGGCAATGGTGCAAAATCTTAAGTTGCATACATACGCTACACCAACGTGTGTACGTATGTATGTTGAACTTCTTTCCCACTGTACATAGCCAACCGTGCTAATCAGAGGTTCGGAGGGACGACGACAAAAAAAAACATTGACGATGCTATCCACCGTTCCCAACTCTCGCATGTGCCACTGTGGTAAAGTATGTGGAGGTCACCTCAACGACCTGCAATGTCCTGGGGGGGGGGGGGGGGCCCTCGTCCAGGAGTGGATTGACAAAAGGGCCGAGCGCGCCGTTGAGAGCTACGCTCCGCCACCAGAGCGGACATGCTAACAGAATTTCAGTGAAACCTTGGATTGCGAGCGTAATTCGTTCCGGAAACGTGCTCGTAATACAAAGCACTCGCATATCAAAGCGAATTTCCCCATGAGAAATAATGAAATATAAAAAGGTATTTTGTATTAATATTTTTTATGAATACAGTATTTTTTGGGTTGTGGAACGAATCATCTGAGTTTCCATTACTTTTTATGGGGAAATTCGCTTTGATATACGAGTGCTTTGGATTACGAACACCTTTCTGGAATGAAATCCAAGGTTTAACTGTACAAGCGTGTAATATTTTGTACATGTGATGCATATTCATATATTTTATACCCTTAAATTGTGAGGCGTTGAAAACATTGTCATGATAATGAACAGCAGTTTGTCAAATCCACTGCGAAATGAATGCCTCCCCATGCCAGCCACAGAGGGTTATTTTTTTACCATACTTCACCACACTAATGGGTACGAACTGGGGTTCAGATATCACTCAATCACTGTTAGCCAGTGTGGTTAACCAGTATTTTTTTCACAGGCTTCGCGTGATAAGGAATGAATGAATGAGAAATGTACGACCATGTCACCTTGACATGCCCATGAATCAGAATCTTTATTTATACAAGATGAATCTGATGAGCTATAAAGCTCTTTTTCATAGATATCCAGTAGTTAACACCTTGTCGTGTAGTTCAGAGCCGTGAGCTAACCACTTTTCCACCGCTCCCCATGTGAAGTCGGTGATTACTTATGTACAGTAACGTGTATTCAATTCACTTCCTTTAAGAGCAGCTATGAACATGTCAAGACAAGACGTCTGTTTTGCAAGGGAGACCAGGGACAAACGCATCCTTACAGCAAAAGGTTTACGTGCAACAAATTAACGTTGCAGAATTAAGCACACGGTGTGTATATGTTGAACATCTTTCACACCGTA